TGTATGGATTGTGATAACAGTTGTATGAGCCCCTAATAAAATGTTTTTAAAAAAAAGAAATAGCAAAAGATGAAAAACAAAAAGAAATTAATCAAGCTGTTTGTTTAGACTTTGTGAACTTCACAGAAAATGTTATCTTTCATGTTAAAAGTTTTTAAGTACCTGGCTTTTGTGAAATGTATACGGTGCATTCTGTATCCGTGCTGTGATGTTACTCATGGTTACAAATAACTTTTAATTTTATACTTAACCATGCCCCTTTTCGAAAAATAATAATAATAACATGCCCTTTTGCAGACACACCATAAGTTACAAACCCTTGCTGTATATTTGACCTAATTTGGGCCGCACACCTCTGAGATAGGTACAGATGAGGAAAGTGAGCCTGCAACCTGGGGGTCACCAAGCACACTTGTTCAGATCTCAGATTCTGACGCCTTGCTAGCTGTGTTTGGATCTCTGGGTACCATCCACTAGCTGAATCAACTGGAGCAATTTACTTAACTCTCCAAATCTCAATTGCCTAAACTTTCTACAATAGAAATAATGATAATACGTATGTCCCAGAATTGTGAGGATTAAATAAGTTCAGGTGTATGTGATCCCTGCTGTGTTTTGCTGTCAAGATGACTCCAGCTCACGGCTTTCCCAGATTTCCCATTTGCGTCAGGGTAGAATTGTACTCCCTGGGGTTTACAATGCTTGATTTTTTAAAAAATTTTTCTTTTCCTGAAGTAGACTGCCAGGTTTTCCTTCCAGAGTGCCTCTGGGTGGACTGGGAGCCCTACCTTCTCAGCAGCTGAGGGCATGAAGCATTTGTGCCACCCATGGACTCCTCATAAGACCAGCCCCACCCCCAACAAAGATTCACACTCTAAAGATCAAAGAGGCTTCTTTGGGCAGAGATGGAGCACACTGGTCTTTGTAGTTTGTTGCTAGAGAGAAAGTGTGTCTGAAGAGGCCCTGGGTGGGAAAGACAGAAGCCTGTGCTGGCTTCTGCCAATTGGTACTGGTTCTCTGCTGTTTGTGTTCTGTAGCCTTTGCTACACAATCCTTAGCCATGTGTATAACCTGCTCCTGAGTCTTCTGAGTTCTTTTAGTACGTTGCTAAACTTGACAGACTCAACAGCAACTGGGTTTAGGTCTGATGGGAAGTCTATCTGGTGACACACCCAGCCATAGCAACTGAAACTCAGGGCCCCAACAAGGAACCCAGGTCCGTGCACATCATCCATCTTGATGTTTTTACAAAGCAACCTGACAGTCTGGGACAGCACGCTCCATTACTCCAGGTGTATGCAACAAAATCGTTAGTCACTTAAAAAATAATTCCAATGGCCATATTGCCAAGGGGTCCCCAAGGGTCAGTAGTAGCTCCAGATTCTCTTGGAGACAGCAAGGAACGAGCAACCAGATCTGTAACTGTTAACTCTTTTCCCACAATGTAACAATTTCCTCTAGCGATTGTAATAAGTCCACAATTGCCCTACTGATTTCAGGTGCCATTTCTGGATTTTCTGCCCTGTAATGGGTTTTGTGTCAGCTTGGTAATCTCCCACTCAGGCCACAGCCTGATAACCTCTCCTTGGGAATGTGATCTGTTTGATACCTATGTAAAGACATTGTGAATAACTCTTTCTCCTCTTCCAACTCCCCGGATGCCTGTGATTGGCTTCTAGGTCTTGGGAGCTGTTGGAGGCCTGCCAGGTCCCTTGCATTGGGACCACCAGCCTGTGATCTTCTATCTCCACCAGCCTGTGACCTTCCTGCTTCATTTACCTGGTTCATCAGTTAGCAGCTCCGTGAGTCAAGAAGTGTCTTCAGTTAGCTTCTAATTCATGGACTAATGTTGGACTGGGCTTGCCCACTCTGCAGCTATGTGGCCCATTTTCTTAAAAACACATTTCTTCATATAAATTTGTTTCTTATACCTACATGAGTGCCTTGGTTTTGTTTCTCTAGAAAACCCAGCCTAACACAGTCCTATTTCTGGTTGGCACACATGACATTTTAATTTGACAGGCTTTATAGTGTAATGTTTGGAAGGTTTGTCCATCCCTGGTGGCATAGTGGTTACACATTTGGTTACTATTCGCAAGGTAAGAAGTTGGAAACCACCAGCCAATCCACGGGAGAAAGACAGATCTTTCTACTTCCATGAACAGTGACAGTCGAGGGAGCTCGCAGGGGGAGTTCTACCCTGTCCTATAGGGTTGCTATGAATTGGTATCAACTTGATGGCTATGAGTTTGTTTTGTTTTGGGTCCATTCCTGTAGCTTTTCTTTTGTAGTGTTTTACTGGCTAGTCTTGCTTTTTTTTTTTCTTGAGTTAAGCATCAGTTTGTCTATTTCCATTAAATTTTTTTTTAAACATGGGAGCTCTTCAGGACTAGATCCAGAATCTCCTCTGCCCTATTTCTCTGATCCCTTGGTATGTCAATAGCAATGACTAATGGCCTCTTTTCTCTAGCCAGCACCTCTCTTAAACAACAGTCTGGGCAGGAACTGATGCTTCAGTGCACAGGAAGAATTTCTTCTCCCCCAGTGTAACCTCACTTTGGGCCTTAGGCTTCTCAACTGATTGGTACATTCAAATGATCCAAGGGCAAGCTCTTTTACATAAAGTCAACTGACTCTAGATTTAATCACGTTTTACACAACACCTAGGTTAATCTTTGATTGAATAATTGGGTGCTATAGCCGGTTTGTGCTTGCCTACTAACCTGTAGGAAGAAGCAGCTTTGAAGAGAATCTTGATAATCTGTGAAGATTACAGCCAAGAAAATCCTAGGGTTGTGCCCTGTCTGTTCACACCCGCCCACACACACAGAGACAGACTAGGGCCAAACACAGGGAGCACAACAGAGCAGCAAGGGGAGCAAAGCAACGAAGTCCCTGAGGAATCTAAAAAACAGACTTTAGACATGGAGGGAAGAGGTTGGCACCTCATCAGACTCAATCAGAAAATATTCATAAGGGTCAGCAGACAGAACTGGAACTATTTATAGCCCCCCCACACACACACCTTTTTTTCATATCTATATAAGATAGGCAAGATAAGCAATCCAGAGGAGAACATAGTGGGACCAATGGTTCGGGGGAGTGAGTGAGTGGGGGGAGTCAGCAAACCCAGAGAGAAGGGAACAACAGGAGATCTAAAATTGATGGCAAGGAAGATATAGAACACCTGGTGGGATTTGATCAAATACAATGTAGCTGAAAGGAATAACTGAAAGCCAATTGAAGGTCCAACCTGATAGTGAAACAGGAGGAAAGAAAAAGGAGATAGAGGAAAGAACTAGGAGGCAAAAAACATTTACAGAGGTATAAATATAGGCATATATATGTAAATATATTAATATATAATGATAGGGGTGTGGGAAACAGAAAGGTTTCCCCCCCAAATATATGTCAAGCTTAGCTGCTTGCTACATGTGGTGAACGACTATACACCTGGAGGTCAACAGAAGTAGGTCAGGGGTTATTCTCCCTAAGGGTTATCAGTCATCTAGAGCAAGCAGGCACCACTGTTTATCCCACAACAAGTAGGGCCCACTCCCTTCTGATGAGGGTAGTAGTAAATTGTTTACCTGAAGGTATACCCAGGGAGGTCCAGCCCACCCAAGGGTGACCAAGGGTAGGCCACTATCATAAATCTAGGGTCCGCCCAGCTTGTCACATGTATATGATGTCCCCTTCCTATGATGTGTATGCCTATTGTACTGCCCCTTCCTGTGACGTGTGGTTACCTGTAATCACACCCCTGAAGTAGATATAAACCTTGGTTAGCAATAAATGGGGGTTTGGGCCCCACCTCACCTCTGGCCTTTTCAGCCCACGCTGTGCACGGACCTGGAAAGATCATGGTCATCCAAGAGGTGATCTTGCTACCATGAAATGTGTCTGGGAAAAAAAATGTGTCTGACTTCTTTATTTTACTCTCCTATCTCTCTCATGCTCTATGACTTTATTGTAAACTTTATATATCTCAACCGTTCAATTGCACCTACTGAACCCGTGATTGATTATTTGTGAGGGGCTGGCCTTTTCCCCCACATAGGGTATAGGTCTATGTGCATATATTTATATGTTAAGTATCAAGGTAGCAGATGGCCTTTGGGCCTCTACTCATGTCCTCATTCAATGCAAGAACACGTTTTTCTAATAAACCTGGCATTCTTTGATGCTCACCTTCCCAACATAATCGCTGAAGTCAAAATGGGTGCAAATGAAACAAGGCTGATGATGCCAGGCTATTAAAAGATATAGCATCTGGGGTCTTAAAGGCTTAAGTTAAACAAACAGCCACAGGGAAGCCACAAAGCCCACATGGAATAGTCACACCAGCCTGTGTGATCATGAGGTGTTGGCGGGATCAGGTATCGGGCATCAGAAAACCCAGAACAAATAATCATATCAATGCAAAAGAGGGGGGTGGGAGTGGAGACCCAAAACACATCCACAGACAATTGGACAGCCCCTCACAGAAGGGTCACAAGCCATCAAGGGTGCAGCACAGCATTGAGGAAACACACAACATTCTTCTAGTTCTTTAATGCTTCCTTTCCCTGCTCCCCACACCCCACCTCACCCCCACCACTATCATGACCCCAATTTTACCTTATAAATTCAGCTAGACACTGGTATAGATAAGCGCTCTTGACAAAGGGAATCCAGGACAGATAAACCTCTCAGGAACAATAATAGGAGCAGTGTTACCATGAGGGTAGGGAGAAGGTGGGAGGAGAAAGGAAGAAGCGGTCAGAAATGAACAATATATAACACCCCCTTCCAGGGCGACAAATAACAGAAATGTGAGACTAGTGGATAGTATTAAGATATGAAAATAATAATTTATAATTTATCAAGGGGTCACAAGGGTGGGTGGATAGGAAGAGAGGGGAAAAAGAGGAACTGATACCAAGGGCTCAAGTAGAAAGAAAATGTTTTTAAAATGACAATGGCAACATATGTACAAATGAGCTTTATACAATTGACGTATGGACTGTTGTTTTTGTTTTTGTATGGATTGTTATCAGAGTTATAAGAGCCCCCAATAAAATGACTTATTAAAAGAAAAAGAAAATTCAGTGGAATAGTTCTACTCTGTAACAAGGAGTTGCCATGAGTCAGGATCAATAGATGAGCACAGGTTTATTTTTCTGGTTTCTATGGTCTAGCTAAGTTGACACTTAAAACTAACCATCACTCTATAGGACTGACAAAACCTGTCACTATTTGTTTACTACTAACGTGACATTACGCAATCGCAGTTATACAAGTTCATAATTTACTCAACTTGTCTGCTTTGAAAACGTAGCTAGAACTCATGATTCTATATTTTTTTAATTTGGAAATTTTCAATAATCCACACTCTTCCACATAAAGTAAGTTGCTATGTTCATAGTATATGACTTTAGAATTATATACATAACATGCACAGAAAATATACTACTGACACCCCTGTGCCATTTTGTTCTTATAGTGTGAGTATATGCGCTGCTGCAGAGAGCACAGTTCTGCCAGTATTGAAAAGTTAACAGCTGTGACTGCAGTGCAGTGATGAGCTGGGTCTCACAGACTTTACCTTTGAAAGGAACTAGCTCTCGTGTTTACGTCTGTCTCTTTCCACTTTCCTGTTATGGATTGAATTGTGTCCCCCTCAAAATATATTCCATTGGACCTGCCCGGGCCATGATTCTCAGGGTCTGCCAGTTATGTAAGTGATGCAGTCAGCCCTCTGATGTGAGCGGTGGATCTGATCTGAGGGAGTTTCCATGGGCTGCAGCCTGGCATCACCTTTTATCTTACAAGAGACAACAGGAGAGAGAAGTCAACAGAGAAAGAGCACCCTAAGTACCACCAAGAAAGAACTTCCTAGACCAAGTGGAAGATTGATGCCAAGATACATCCTAGCTCTCTAAAGGATGCTGGGATCACAGACGTTGAAAAGAGACAGGGACCCTCCCCTAGAGCCAGCACAGCTCTCCTTAGAACTGGTGTTTGACCAGCCCGTGTGATCATGAGGTGTCATAAAGACTGGGTAACAGGCATCAGAAGATCCATAACAAACAAGCAAACAAACAAAAACATTGTTGAGAATGAGAGGGCTAAGAGCAGAGACCCAAAGCCCATCTGTAGACAAGGGAACATCCCCCCACAGAGGGGTCCCAGGGAAGGGATGAGTCAACCAGGGTTCAGTAAAGCATCCATGGAACACACAATATTCCTCTGGTTCCTTGAGGCTTCCTCACCACCCCCACTATCATGACCCCAGTGCTGCTTCTTACTCTGGACCAGACCAGAGCGTGTGCACAGGTATAGCTAGGAGGGAAAAGCTGGAGGGCAAATGTTTTGAGAATGATGAGGGCAATGAATGTGCAAATGTGCTTTACACAATTGATGTATGTATGGATTGTGATAAAAGTTGTATGAGCCCCTAAAAAAACGATTAAAAAAAAAAAGAGGGAAAAGCTCATGACACACAGAATCCAGAAACAGGAATGGGAATAGGGATACCAGGAGGGTAGGGGGAAGGAGGGAAGAGAAGGGAAGAAAGGGGAAGCCAATCCTAATGATCCGCACACAATCACACAGTCCCCTCCAGGGGAAAGAACAACAGAAACCATGAGAGAAGGGAGACAGCGGTCAGTGTGGGATATGAAAATAATAATAATTTATAATCTATCAAGGGGCCACGAGGGGGGGGAGGGAGGGGAAAAAAGAGGAGCTGATAATCAAGGGCTCAATAGAAAGTAAATGTCTAGAAAAGAACGATGGCAACATATGTACAAATATGCTTGATACAATTGATGTATGGATTGCAATAAGAGTTGTAAGACCCCCAATAAAATGATCTTTTAAAATAAAAAACAAGAACTGGTGTTTGGACTTAGAATTGGTGCTGGCCCTGAATTAAGACTTCTCACTGCCTAAACTGTGAGAAAATTTCTGCTTGTGAAAGACATCCACTTGTGGTATTTTTGTTATAGCGGCACTACATAATTAACATGTTCTCTTTGACCATCCACTTTCAATACTCCTAGTCCAGTTCCCATCTCCTTCCCTGTGGGATCTACTACCTTCTATATAAGAGGAAGTACTTCCTTTCTTCCATTCCTGCTTGAATCTCACCAGATGCAATATCAGGTGTGACAAAGAGTTTTTGAATGACTGCAGAGTGGAGAAGTGGGCTCTGGTCAAGGAGCACTGAGTGAACTTAATCTGGTTCATTTTTCCCAAACAAGAATCAATTGATTTCCTCATGGACTGATTGAAAGATCAGTTTGTAGAACTTGATTTCCTAAGAAATAAGTACAAAACCCCAAACCAAACCCATTGCCTTATAAGCCCATTTTAATTCTTGCTGGTATCATATACTCTACACGGCTTTGGGGTTTCCTTGACAGTAATCATCACAGAAGCTGCTTAATCGGCCTTTCTTTGTAACACTGCTGGATGGGATGAGATTGCCAACCTGTAGGTTGAGTGCAAACCCTTCATGCTACTCAAGGAAAGAGAAACGAATACGCCATGTCCTAATTAGTATTACTTTTATTCAAAGACAGTACAAGTTGCCTCGATTGTGATTTTGCCCTGAACATTCTTACAAGGGGGGCATTGAATTGCAAGGCTCTTGTCACTAGACATCGGGCTGCTGACCACAGCAATGTTGGTAGTTCATACCCAAGATCCATACCACGGAAAAAAAGATGAAGCTGTCTGTTCCAGTAAATCTTTTTTTTTTTT